AAAAAAACAGACATGTCTTATTTTCTCACTACAAACACTGGCAAAAACACACTCTACAAAATAAATTACATCCACTCTTTTTTGCCTTATCATTTTAAACAATATCTCATTCATACTCTCAGTCCTATTGTTGAATCGTTGATTCTTACATCTGCTAATCTAACTTATTATGTTTGATGTTCTAAATATTCCACATCTAGAAATGCTGAATTAGGTGTGATCTGGAACTTCTCAGATGTATAGAAGAAATTTAATTAAACAAAAAAGAATTAATCCCTTAATGAGTAATAGTGATGGAAATCATGAATGGAAATATGACTCTGAATCTAATACACTCACATTTACTGTATACAGTATTTTAAATCATTCTTATGTAGAAGACAAAACTAAAGAGATAAAATTTAATGAAATTCTTTTTGAATTACATACTTGAAGTGAACAAAGAATCAATTATGGAGATGATATCACCAAGTTTGTAGTTAACAATCCTATATTAGTTGATAGTGATAGTACAATACCAAATGTATTTATCATTCATAATAATGTTGAAATTACAAAAGAGAATGATAAAATTAATTTCTCTGTTAAGAAGTTAACAATATCTAAATATAAACAATGAAGTTCTACACTACTATAAGTACAGAAGATGTAACAATATATGATACAAACAGATTTATAGACAATGATGATAACACAATCGAGAGTCTATTTGAATTCCTGACACTAAAATGACTTGAATTTATACAGAATCTATACCACAAGAAAGTGCATTAGCTACAACAATCATTCTCAAAACAGACAAAATAGAGAGTGATTTAGATATCATAGCATGTGAATTAATAATTAGAAAAGATATATAATGAAAGAATTGATTTATCAGGAAAATGAGAAAATAATAAAAATAACTATAAGAATGTAGAAATTGAAAATAAAAATGAACCAGATGATTTAAAAATTGGTTCATTTCTATGAATAAATAATAATCAATTTACGAAAATCATTAATCTAAAATTTCTATTTCAACAATTAGAACATAATAATGTGTATGAACAATGAATAAGTAATGATAAATTAGTTATCAAAATCTCAACATTGAATTAAGTATTAGTAATTTTGTTATTTTAAATTATGTAAATGAAAATAATTTTTTACATTCTAAAGACATTCACATACTACAAGATTATAACACATTTGATGAAGGAATTGATATAGATGATTTTAGAACAATAAATGAAAATTCAACAAATACTATACAAGGATATACAGGCAATGATTATACTAAAATAGATGATAATAGAAAGATTAATGTTCAAAGACATAATTATATGAAGATATGTCTCTATATGATGAAAGTAGTGAAAACTACAAAACCATTATAATAGAAGATATGAATAAAAATACAGAATATTACAGTAAGTATTTCCCATACGATGATGGAGTAACAATTTTACAATGGTTATGTGAATGTCAAATAAAATGTACTAAAGGGATAATAAGCAATATACAGATTGAAATTGTTATAAACAATTATGGATATGTTACAAAAACATTTAAGAATATAATAAAACTAGTACAATTTTATAAAAGCATCTATTATGGTCAAAATATAGAATGAGTAAAATCAATTTCAATTTTAAATGAAAATAAAAATATAAATTTACTACACGATGATTTAAAATCATATCAATTAGATAATATAGATGAAATAATTGTTGAATACTGTAATAAATATAATGAGTAATATGATGATGATCAAAAAGTAGATTGGTTAGAAGAATGATATTTCAAAGCATCAATAATGCCATCTACACAGTCAGATTATTTAAGTGACTCTGATGATTACTACAATAAATGTGTCTACATGTATATCCCAATATTATTAGATAGTGAATCAAATATATTTGACAAGAAAATAGATGGTATCACAACATTTAAATGTGGAAAACAAATTGATTTAATAAAATCAATAGAATTATATTCAACAAAGCAGATTCAATTTGATATAGAAGATGGTACACATGAGAATAGATTTACTATTTATGGAAAGAATCCTCATTTAAGTAGAATGGCAAAAACATTAAATGTCAAAACAATAGAGGTTATGTTAAATAGATTTACTCAATACGATTTTGTAAGATGTCTAAATGAATATATATACTCAGTAGATAAACAAAATGAGAACAAAGGATATATCTACAAACTATATGATATTAGTATTACTACTACTGATAGTTCATCGGAAATATTACCAAGTCCTACTAAAATATATGATAGAGGAACATCTACAGAAGAATTGATTAGAGATATTGTACAAGACAGAATGATAATAGAGAAGTATTATATCAGTGTTGAAATATGAGATATCAAAACTGACAGTGAAGAGTATACAAATGAATATTTCCAAACATGGAAGATATTACATCAGATCCACAGTATAGTACACTCAGTGCAAATGCATCATCAGATGAGATACTCAAAACAAAGGATATTAATGAAATGAAGAGACTCATGAATGAATGGCAATATAAATTCATGTATTTAACATACGAGAATTGAAATGTTATATTCACAAAATATATTTTATGAAATAATATTACATTCAGTCATAGTAAAAGAGAAGAAACACTCTTTATTGATGATCTACTCAATATGACTACACTCGATGATTATAGTGATTATATTAATAATTCAATTGATTATAAAATTCAGAGAAAGAAGGAGATTTACAATTTGAATGATGAAGAACAGAATGTTAAGAATGTGTTTACACTGATAATAATTACAGACTTATGATGAAGTAGTTCAAATGAAGTAGAATAAGTGATAAACCACATGAAACTACAATGAGTAATGAGAGATTGCTAATATTATGATATTGATAAGTATAAGAATAAGTACAGAAGATGAAGAAAAAGAAGGACTTATTGAGATTCTAGATAAGATAGAAGAAGCAATGAATAGTATTTATACAAAAGAACAGAAATATGATAGAGAATATGTCAATTATAGTCATAAAGAATATCAAAAGATAAGAAAAGCATTTGTAGAATGGAGAAATTATTACATTCATCTTCCAAGTGAATATTTCAAAACAGCAGAAATTATGATATGGAGACCAATTGAATTAGAAATGAAAAGTGTAGAAGAAATTAGGAATGATAATTATGATCCTCAATATATCATTGATTATTATAATAATATAAATTTGAAGTATAATGAAGAAAAGCAAAGAAAATGATTATTAATGAAGAAGATGAAAAGAATGTAGAGGTAATTATAATTGAAGAAGCCACAGATAGTGAGTATTGAGAAATGATGAATGAAATTCAAGGAGCAAGAAATAGACTTCAACAATACGATTCACCTAATAAATTAATTATTATAATGGGACTAATTATGGAGACATTTATAGTATATTTGGAAAGGAAGATCTTATTAATGTAGTGGCAATTGAAACATTCTTTAAAGTTAAAAATACAAATGAAATGATTTATATTCCATATGATAAAAGAGATAGTGATACAAATCGGTAGATAAATGGTTCTTTACTAATTTGTATGAATTTATCTTTGATCCTATGATGTATTACATCAATGATTCATCCCCATTTAAATGATTACTAGAAAGTATCAATAATATTCAATACATAGGATATGTCATGATTAAGCAGGAGAAAGTTGAATGAACAGAACATAAATAGATTCAACATTAAATAAGAAGAAATAATCAATTATTTCATTTAGAAAATCATCTGAGTTATCACTTTCATTGTTAATTAAATTAGTAGTATTAGTAACATTATCATTGAATGTTATAATCTTAATAGAGTCATCAGTTTCTTTTGGCATAATCTTATCATTGTTAATTAAATTAATAATAGTGGTAGTAGGAATAGTACTACTAGAATTAGAATGTTCAACATCCTCTATCAAATGATTCTCTTTAACATTATTTTGATTCAAGTGATGAGATTGTTCAATATGAATAAATTCTGTACATTTTAGACTGTGATTTTTCTTTTCAATTCATTCAAGAATATTTCAGTTTGACACATATTTTCCATTTTCTCGGCATTGTCATTATTAATAGAATGAAAATATTGAAATGCTTGAGACAATAATAGACTAGTAAACCATGTTTTGTGAGATTTCATATCATTGTAATAATTGGAAGAAGTAATTTTGTTCAAAGAATTTAGTGGTATAACTATCTGTTTCATAATGTGTACAATTTCATAACCATAAGACTAATTTCCAATGAATAGTGAATATTCAATTCTTCTCATTACTTTCTATTCTTTCAATCACTTCAAATTTTCCTTCAACAAGATGATTATTGAGAGTCAATGTACGTACAGGAGTAGCTAACTACATCATTTTATTTCACTTGAGTTTCCCTTTTAGAAAGATGTTACTATCTATGTTA